TCCACAACCTCTCGGCTACCAACCTCTCGCTTACCAACCGAACGCGCTCTACCAATGATCTACACCGACACGTATCTCCATGCAAAAGTGATGCTATGCTTTCCTTATTAATAGCAAGCGCATTTTGAAACTAGCCTTGGATAAAACTGATAACAACAAGTTAAAAGCTCTTAGAGCTTTTCCTGGAAAACAAAACTGGAATTGCTTGGATTCTATCAAGGACCAATTAAAGACAAAATAGTCGAAGACGTTTGGTTGGAGCTAGAATACAAAACAGGGATCACTGAAATTCGAATCCACAACCTCTCGGTTACCAACTTCTCGGTTACCAACCTCTCGCTTACCAACCGAACGCGCTCTAGGAATGATCTACACCGACACGTATCTTAATCCTAAAGTAAAGCCTTATACCTTCCTTACCAAGAGTAAGCGCATTTTGCAACTAGCCTTGGATAAAACTGATAACAACAAGTTGAAAGCTCTTAGAGCTTTTCCTGGAAAACAAAACTGGAATTCCTTGGATTCTATCAAGGACCAATTAAAGACAAAATACTCGAAGACGTTTTTTTTCCTTTTCCTTTCTTCTAAACGGCATTTTGTGAGGGTCATTCGTCGTGCCCTCGGGGGACTTTCATTGAAAGAAAAAAGGAAAGAAAAAGGAAAGAAAAAAGGAAAGAAAATAGGAAAGGAGACCACATTTCAGCACTCTTTTCACACCAAATTGAGATCGGAAAAGGAGGGGAAAGGGGACCCGATAAGCACCCCATGAACTCTTCTTTTGAAGGAGTGAGTAGAGCTCTAGTACGGGACTTCTCAATCTTTTGCCTTTTTGGAGAATGAATACGATTCATAACAATGCGAAAAGGTCAATCAGGCGTTTAAGTATTGAAAACTTTGTAAGCATTGTAGGCTAATTTTCAAATTAATTTCTTTAGCACCCTTTGGCATTCTGAGCCGTGAAAGATCACCGTATACTAGACATAGGAAAATTCCAACTCCAACCTAATTCCACCTTCATTTTCACAACCGTCTCTTGTCTCTGATTATTCTGAAATTTTGTCTAAAAGCAGAGAATGTCAATTTCTATTTGTAAACAAAATTTTAGAGCAATCGGCTAAGAGACGGCTGAGAAAACGAAGGTGGAATTAGGTTCAGAATTTTTCTATGTCTGCCGTATACCCGGTTTAAAAGCACTATGCTTTCGCTGTATCTTATTTTGAGCTATACTCCTGATATGCTTTTTGTAGGTTGGGTAAGCTCTAGGACTCCTAGAACTTTTCTAGAGAATTTGAAAATAATGTCTATGAATTGAAAACAATGTCATCATTAGCTCGCATCTCGCATCTCGCATCTCGCATCGTCAATTCACTGAAAGTTTTTGTTATCAGCAACTCTAGAGCCTCTAGAGCCTGTTATCAGCAACTCTCGAGCCTCTGAGCATGTTATCGGCAACTCTAGAGCCTCTAGAGCCTGTTATCGGCAACTCTAGAGCCTCTAGAGCCTGTTATCAGCAACTCTAGAGCCTCTAGAGCCTGTTATCAGCAACTCTAGAGCCTCTAGAGCCGTTAGCAACTCTAGAGCCTCTAGAGCCTGTTATCGGCAACTCTAGAGCCTCTAGAGCCTGTTATCGGCAACTCTAGAGCCTCTAGAGCCTGTTATCAGCAACTCTAGAGCCTTTAGTTTATCATTATTTTCATCTAGTTGCATAACTGTATAACAAAACAAAAGTTTTGCCAAAAAAAGGAATCGAACTCGAGGAAAAAATGGGGCCCCGTTTTGTATGCAAGCTTTCTATCCACTATACCATACAGAAACGTTAAGATCCGTGAGAGAACCCTTATAAAGGCCTATTCGGTTTCAACTTTTTACATTTTTACTCTAAAACTTAAAACATATATAGAAAGAAAGAAAGAAAGAAAGATTTTGATTTTGCAAAAAACGAGAAGCAGATTTGAAATCAGCGTGAAATTTTGGTAAGCCGTGAACCATATCCGGTAAGCCATCGGATATGGTTCCAATTTGGTTCGGATATGGTTCGGATATCGGATACGTCATATTGGAGCCATATCCGAACTAAATTGGAACCATATTGGAACCGTATTGGAACCATATTGGAACCATATCCGAACCAAATTGGAACCATATTGGAAACAAATTAGAACCATATTGGAACCATATTGGAACTATATTGGAACCAGATTGGAACCAGATTGGAACGGGATTGGAACCATATTGGAACCATATTGGAACTATATTGGAACCGTATGCGAACCATATTTCAACCATATCCGATGGCTTATCACATTTGACCACATCCAAATCTTGCTTTCCCTTGTAAGATTTTAGTGTTACTTGAGTTAATCAAATATAAATTTCAGCGTCAAAAGCTTTAAAAAAAAGCTGTTTCAAAAAAAGAATTTTAAAAGATTCTCAAGAAATTGTGCTTTTTCCCCTTCAAACTACTAGCTAATCAACTATAAATTAGGCTTATTTGGCCTAGTGGATTCTTTTAAGAAAGAAAGAACTCACTAGTAGTAAGGAAATGTTCTTGGAATTGAAATTTCCGGAAAAAAAAATCCAATAAAAAGGTTTTAAAAAACAAAAATACATGTAATTTATGGTATTTTGCTTCAAAATCTACGCAGTAGTAGTGCAAAAATGATTCTTTTATACCCTCTTTTTTTCATCTCTTTCATCGCCGAACTCTCTCGTATGTGCATCGAAAATTTGCCTTACTGAATTTACTGCGAAAACAAACAAAACAAATCAAAAAATTGCCTCTTGACTCACTTCAATATTTTTAGCGGATTCAAATTTATTTGGCTTTCATTAAGGTTTTTTTTCAGATAAACTTCGGCTATTGGATTGGTGAATTGAAAACTGCCGGACTTTGAACTAAAATTTATTCAACATAAAACCATGAATTCATTCCAAATAATCTGCATTATTATTGACGACTTCTGCCCATTTTACAGGCAATTTGCGGTTTCCTCTTTCGTGGTAGGATTTTGGTTTTGAATCGAAAAACTTTCAAAGCCAATTTTTGACTGCTTCTTCCGAATCGAAGTGTTCTCCCGCAAGCTCATTACTCATGATCCGGAATAAATAGTAATCAAAAAGGGCGAGGTCCGGAATGTATGGGGAATGCGCCAAAAGTTCCCAAACAAGGCCATTTATTTTAGAGCGAGTCAGTTTTGCAACATGAGGGCGCGCGTTGTCGTGGATGAGAGCGATCTTTGACTTGGAGGGCCTATTCTTCTTCAGGGATTCATTCACCTTTCCGAACTGTTCACTGTATTTTATTGCATTAAGGGTCGTCTTGCTATACAGCAGCTCCCAGTACACCGGGGTGCACTAGTATTGGGTTGGTGAATTGAAAACTGCCGGACTTTGAACTAAAATTTATTCAACATAAAACCATGAATTCATTCCAAATAATCTGCATTATTATTGACGACTTCTGCCCATTTTACAGGCAATTTGCGGATTCCTCTTTCGTGGTAGGATTTTGGTTTGTGTGTGAGACAAGTGTGAGACTCAAAAATGGAGGACTGGAGATGTCCCAGTTTGAGCATTTGAGCACTTTCTTCAAAAGAAACCCATTTTGGTGTTAATTGAAAAGTTGTAGAGAATCAAAAATTAGGCTTATAGCCAAATTTCCAAAAAGATACACTTAGTAGTTTAGCTTAAAATGCAAGTTTTGTGAAAATTCGTAAATTTGGCATTTCTTGAAAAGCAGTTTTTGAATCGTTCTGAAAATTTGGATATAAGCTTTATTTTTGATTCTCTACAACTTTTCTATTGACACCAAAATGGATCTCTTTTGAAGAAAGTGCTTAAACTGTCACAGATGACAATAGCCGGCAGTTTTCAATTCACCAACCCAATATTATCTTTCAAAAACAATGTTTTCTTAAATTTTGTTGCTATTATTGCTTTCTTTCTTCCACTTCCACTTTCTAAGCAGGAACAACTTGGTCATATCTCTTATTTGCTGGCCTATCTTGGGGGTTTGCCGGTAATTCTCCATATTTAAACAAGTTTTACAAAGCAAAACCGTATAAACATCAAGTCTTCAAAAGTTCTCGCGTTAAACTCGCACACATACGGCTTTTCCTGGTCATTCATCTTTCGTTTCTGCTTGAAATAGATTCGCACAGCAATCCGAAGGAGACGTCTTTCGAAAAGTGGAGAAAAGTGGCTCCCTTTCCCAATGACAACAGATTCAGTCTGAAGTCTCAAAACGATGCTTTTTTAGGGCCGAAGATACTCAATATCAGCTTGTTTTCCAGAATTGACCTACTCCCTCACCCACGACCGAGATTGAAAGTATGTACTTCCAATTCTAAAGAAGTGCTTTCATAGCAAACTGCTAGCAAAACTGCAGGACTACTAGCAAAACGTTTTCACGTTGTTTAATGACTATGCCTAACTATGTATAAAGTTTATTAAACTTAGCAAAACTTTAAACTTACTGATTTTTAACACTCAACATCTCACCCGGTGTTCTTTTCGTTCAACCTTTTGGCATTTAGCCTCACATCAAAAAAGCGTCTTGCATTCCACCACAACGACGTTCCGAATTGGTAAGTCTAAAGTTTTGCCAAGTTTAATAAACTTTGCAGAAAAAAAACTTATGAATAAGTTTACCTCTTAAAAAATTCCTCGTGATTTTGATTATAAATGCTTTTCACGCGCTCCCAAAAAGTGCCGACACTTCGCAAAGCTCAGCGGCAGAAAAGCCGCCCACGGTGCACTCAACCATTCTTACTAGATGGGTTATTTTTGCTTTTTTGCAGTTTTTTGACTTTTACATCTGCATATATTAATCACCATCTATATATAAAAACTCATTTTTCTGTCTGTCTGTCCCGCTGTCTGTTTAGATGGATTCTCGGCGCCCCGTGAACCGATCCCCGGACCCTGGCAGACTTTTTGTTGCAAACAATTTATTCGAATAAAGAATTCTAATAAAGAATTTGCATCTAAGAATTTCTCTATTTTCCGGTGGCTTTGAAAACGCAGAGGCCAGTTTTTGGGTTACACGGAGCGGTGGCGGGGCATTGAGAGCAGATCTCACATGGGGAGTTAGCCACTGGATACACTGGCGTCCCGGAGACAAATGCCCTAAAATTTGAAAGTGATCATATTTGTTGTTCACTTGCCAGTGCGCGGACTGAAAAAGTGACATTTTTGCAAATTGTGGCTATGTTTATGAGAAACACAGGAACCAGAGATGTACAGTGCTGGAGAATGAAATATCATATTTGAAAAACCATCGTCACTTTTGCGCGTCTGTAACTTCCTTATCTTTACCGTATTTCAAAATATTAATATTACCATTGTGTAGCCCTTGAAAAGAGGTTTCAGAAAATGTATAGCACTAAGAGTTTAAACGCAAAGACAAGGGAGTTACAGATGCGCGAAAGTGACGATCGTTTTTCAAATATGATCCAGTACTGTATAACGGGGCGACCCGTAGTTTACTAGACTTGTAACGAAAATATCTGTCGGTCCTTTTTTACCGCTGGCAATTTAAAAGTTTTTTGTGTTTTCCTCAGCACTAACCCTTCTATTTTAACTATTTTGAATACCATTCGATGCAGAATAAAATTGCGCGTCGAATGATACCAAAATCAACTCAAAATATAATATCCATGCAAAGTTATGAGGCAAGAGATTACGTCCCGCCCATAATGGGCGGGGTTTAGGTTTTTAGCCAAACTACGAGCCGTCCCGTCGTACATCCCTGCTCTTTTTTAACGATTAAAGTTCTCCACTGACATTGGCGAAAGCTGACACCAGAGAATGTACGATCCATATGCGCCAGCTGGTGCAAGTTGATCGGTGTTGTTACGGAAGGCGCACCCAATCTTCTGAGCGTTCCCGTGAACTAGCTGCAAATTCGATGCCTCTTTGCAATGTTTTTTTTGCTTCACTCACTCGATAGGTTTGCGTTATGTAGGACTCAGTGTATCCAGTGTTGGCCGGTGGACGGTAGTTGATGCTGGGCACGCCGCTTGTTGAGATCCACGCAAGCCACGTGTTCGTCCACGCGTAATCAACTGAAATTCGTCTTTTTTTCTGAATTCTGTACCCGTTTCTGCACTGACTATTAGACCGGGGTTTTGGTCTGACTTTTCCGGATCGAATCGATTTGGTCGAGCTTGAACGAATCGAAATTCGAATCGGTTTAGTTCAAATTTCGAATCAAATCGAGTTGGACCGTCTCGATTCGATTCTACTATGAAAGCATTTAGTAAAACTGAATTATTCTACACAATTACAGCTTTAAACCAATTTCTGAACGCCCGTGTTGACGAGAATCATTTGTGCTTGAAAGCCGTTCACTTTTTTTGAAATTTGAAACATACACATTTCCTTGTTGGTGATCAGGTTGGTGCCGACGGTGTTCGGAAAGAGTCCGACGTGAATCTCGAGGGTGCCCGCTGGCAGAGGATAGGTGGCCACTCTGTTCTGCAAGGAGTTCAATCGCTTCGAGCTATTCGTCGCCAAGCCAGCGTCCCAGCGCTAGAGAAATCTCGATTAAATGTGTTTATTTAAAAGTTCTACCAATTGATACGTCTTCTTGGAGCCGGGCCAGTAGAGCTCAGTGGTCTGAAGTGCTCAGAATTTTGAATTGTTTACAAATGTTTACCACTGTAGAGTTGTACCATTGCTGTCTGGAAAGGGCTACCTTTGAGCGCCAGGCATTGATAAACTGAAAATAGCTTTATTTTTTGTATTTCGGAACATTTACGGCTAAGAAGAACATATGAAAAGTGACTATATTCTTCAGTTTTTTTGCGGAATTAGATTTTAAAACTCAATGGGCTATGGAAATTCTGATTCACTATGGGAAAATAGTCTAAAAGCATCACAAAAAACGATGTTCTCGCTAAGGATTAGGGAAAAGAAAACGACTTTTTTTCTTGCATTAATCTAGCTCAGTTTGAGGACTCTTGAGTTGTCAGAAAAAAAACATTTCTCTACTCTTTCTACCAATTAATGCCAATTAATTAAATGCCTAAATAATGCATAGACTTATAAAGACTAGATTTACGCATAACCTTATTACAAAAATTTAACTCTTTATTAGTGACTTACACCCAAAATGTAACCCGGCATGGCTCCGGTATAGGGAACGGCAGCTGTGGCCATCGTGGCTGAAATGGGTAGGCATAAATTGGCTAAAATAAAAAAAACAACAACATCTAGAAGTAGCTCAAGTTATGGGTAAGTGAGTTTTATTCATTTGATCTTTTTGATTTGTAAACGAGGCTCAGAAACGAGGCTCAGAAACGAGGCTCAGAAACGAGGCTCAGAAACGAGGCTCAGAAACGAGGCTCAGAAACGAGGCTCAGAAACGAGGCTCAGAAACGAGGCTCAGAAACGAGGCTCAGAAACGAGGCTCAGAAACGAGGCTCAGAAACGAGGCTCAGAAACGAGGCTTAGGCTTAGGCTCTGAAACGAGGCTCTGAAACCAGGTTCACAAACCAGGTTCACAAACAAATTTTGCATGTTGAACAATAGCGATTGGGCAATTTTTCGTTTTGATCTTTTTTGATTTCCTGAGTTAAACTTTTGATGATTGCTTGAAATTGCTTAAAAATGTTTCCGAAAAAAAAACCTGCAACGAGGAAAGCCAAACCGAGAAGAGTCCTCATGTCGACACAAAGCTGTGAATGTCTCTCAGCTTTCCCCATTCGATCCCTTTTATGCAAGCTTCATCGCATCATTTTTGTACCTGATCGAGCTTTTCGGCCGAAAATCAAATCACAGTTTTTGATCGAACGCCTCCTCTTTCGATTGTACTTCGAATTCTTTTGAAAGTGAACGTGTGCAAACGAGCGTAGCTTTTTGATCTTCTTTTATTTTTTTTTGACTTTTGATTTTTTTTGCACGACTAAAATGAAAATTTTGAATAGAATTGGCAAAAAAATGTAATTTTAAGCCTCTGCATGTCACAAAAGATAAAATGGACATAAACTAAAATAAACTATAGACTCAAACATTGAACACTTGGATTTGATTCGAGAGATCAAACTGAGAGTTTTTCAAAAAAGCCTTTCAAAAATCTTCTTTTATTTTAACTGTCTTCGCACTTAGTTGTTCCTATTTGGGCAGATCACAACCAATCACATTTCTCGATCCCTTGCTATTGTCATCCAGTGTTTCCTATCTTGTTGTTCCTGGTTCGAAGTCTTCGACTTGCTTGTGCTGGTGTTGCTTGATCCCTCGATGCCGGAAGAGAGCAGGGAGGCCGTGCGGGGTACTGAGGCAGAAGTGTAGCTGTCCTAGCCGATGATACTCCGATGGCCGGGCTGGGGCGCTCGGAGGGAAACCCACAAAAGTCGAACCCACGACTATCCCGCGCCGACTTTGCTTAACTTGGCAGATCGGACGGGATAGACCCCAGGTCCTTCCTCTTCTAGGCCCCCAACGATCAAATTATGTGTCAAATATTAATAGATTTTTGGAAACTACGTAAAAAGTTCGGTTCGAAATGTCAAACTTTCAGGATCGATTAGTTCAATCGTTTTTTTCTAAAATAGCGGAACAGACGGACATAAACACAGACACACACATACTTTCTCGCTTATAATAAGTAGGATATGTACTTGTTGGCTGAATATCTTTCAAGTTTCTGCATCAATTTTTCAAAGCTGTCACCAAGTTTCACAACAAACTCGAGTTGCATTGGGGAGGATCTACCTGAATGAACGATGCCTTCATTGGTGTCTATCTTCAGAAGATTCTCGGAGCTCGGTGCTTTTCGGAAAGCTGGTGTGGGATACATTCTCAGCTCAAAAAAGTGAGACAACGAAGAAGAAACACAAGGAGCTTCAGATCGATTGAATTCTTGTGGATGTGGATGCACTAAATGCATTCAAGCTTCCGATGTTGTTTGGAACGCACCGTAAAGGTCAAAATTTGATCATTGTACGAGCATTGGATAACGAATGAACCAAAACCAGTGACCCGGTATGGAAACCCGGCTCTTCCACCAATGGAAATATATCTTGATTGGGTTGGGACGGCTTGGAGTGAGTTGCCAAAAGAAATGACCATTCATTCTTTCAAAAGTTATGCAATTACGACGGCTTTGGATGAATCGGAAGATGCTCTCGTTCACTGTTTCAAGAAAGATGTTCCAATTCCAGAAGGAGCAAAACAATTGGCCGAAGCTCGACTTGAACAAGCCATCAATCGAGTAAATGATCGTGTTGGAAACATTGTTTTTGATGATTCGGATGATTCTTTGATCTATAATTGTGACTTTTTATGTTTGTTGTTATTTTGTGTTTATTGTTATTTACTTGCTATCTTTGCTGTTAACTTCATAAAATTAAACAAATATGACTATTTTCCTGCATTTTTGAAAGAAATATCATTCCTTTGCGTTTGAAGTTTTTACATGAAGTTTGATTGATTTAGTAAGTACCTATTTGCTTTGTTTGGTCAAAAAAAACTAGTACTGCACCTCTAATAGTACAGGATTTAAAAGCTATTTCGCGTTATTAAATTTCATAGGCAAAAAAAATGTAAAATTTAGGGGTAGTCCTATCATTTTGCGGGTTAGGGGTGGTCCTATCATTTTGCGGGTTAGGGGTGGTCCTATCATTTTGCAACGCACCTTACCGCGATCTCAGCCATCACGAAAAAATAGTACTGCGTAGTACTAATAGAGAAAATACGGTAATTGTTCGTTTAACCCCCCTTTTTCAGATGAAACTCGGTTCTCCCAAATGGGAAACCTGGCTCGTCTCTCGCATTGACCATCAGCAAGGAGGCGGCAACTGATGTCAATTGAATTGAAGTGAAATGGGTTTTCAAAATAAAATATATATTTTGCACTTTTTGAAAAACAAAACTGACTCGAATATGATTCATCAGTAAATCATCAGACAAATGTTTCCGATTTCACATTTTAAATTTCATTCAAATCAAATCATTTCATTCATTTCATTTCATTCAAAGTCATATTCACTTTTGTACAAATATGTCATCTTTGCTGGGATTTCGTATCTCCATCATACCATATTTAGAGGCCTAAAGAAACGGTTTAGTTAGAACTGGACCGAAAACTGGGCTGAATTCGGTCCGGTCTGAACCGAAATTTCCCAAATTTCGCTCCGGGTCGGTTCGGTCCGAATCGAAGCCAAAACTGGATCGAAAACTGGGCCGAATTCGGTCCGAATCGAAACCAAAACTGGATCGAAAACTGGGCCGAATTCGGTCCGGTCTGAACCGAAATTTCCCAAATTTCGTTCCGGGTCGGTTCGGTCCGAATCGAAACCGAAACTGGATCGAAAACCGAGCCGAATTCGGTCCGGTCCGCCAATGTCTAGTATAGAGAGAATCACAAACGAGATGAAACTCTGAAATAAAGATTGTATTCCGAATAAAAGTGTATTCCTTTCAGATAATTTTTTGATTTTCAGTTAAATCAGTGAATGAAAATTAGAATAAAATAATTTCTATAAGAAATACGTACGTTATCAAGCATCACAACAGTGATGTGGTACCGGAGTAGAAGTGAATTCTACCGGATTAAAATAATGACTTCTAATTCCTTATAATAAGCTCTATTATTCCACTCACCAATTACATAATAGTAGAGGCCGAGACAGACGGTTCCAATACATACGCTAATCACAATTCTACACGCCTCACGTCTATCCGCCTTGGCCGATAAGGTATCATCGTGCAGAGTTTGCCAATTCGAAATAATCCCTCGATTATTTCGTCTCGCTGCTCGCCTTTCAGCTATCCAATTATCTCGCTGAAATACTTTGATGATTTCCTTTTACTTTTATAGAAATGGTTTGTGTTGGTTTGTGAAAAAGTGTTTAAAGATGCAGTTTTCGAGGGGCTATTTTGTTGGTTTGGTGGTACTTTTAGTAATTCTAAGCTTGCAGTATTGGGAAGTTGCTCTCTTTCCAATATCTAGCTACTCGACTAGCCTAAGTCACTCGACTCACCTCGATTCTCCTCCTTGCCAACTCGTCGACACTTCGATCGATCTCGGATTGATGTGCCGTTTCATCGAGTTCAACCACCGAAAGCTAGATAGAGAATTTTCATTGAGCTATTTAGAGTAAAAAAAATCTCAAAATGCACAAAACTGTATCTATTATGTTTATTTGAATCTGTGTGAAGTTAAAGCATTGAAAAATAACATGGATATGTCTGGAAAAAGTACCAAAGTTTAACTTCAATCTCTTTGCCCACCTCTCTAAATTGGTATGGTGGCGGTTGATTGTCATTCCCGCCTTCAGCTTCAGAATTAGCTCTTGGGAATAAATTACGGTCTGCTGAAAAAGAAGAAGGGACAGGATTCGATGTATGGTGATGTGGATGTTCGAGGAACTCGGCTGGTGGACCCGTTGAAGTGATGAATGAATGGAGAGACGAGTAGGGAGGAGCCGGTCCGAGCACTCTTCGATCTGAATACAATAGAAGAATTGAGTAAACTTTAAAAGCATTTAGTTACCGAGGCTTATCATCAAAGATCAAAGCAAACTTTATCATAATATCATTACAAAAATTGAGTTTTAAATCTAAATTTAAATCTAAATTTAAATCTAAACCTTATTGGGCTAACGTGTTGGCTTTTAGATTTTGGATCGAACGAACCAACGACTTCACAAAATAATGGCAATAAAAGTGCCCAGCCGGTTGGTTGTATTTAAGAATATTTTTGGAATCTAGAGATTAATGAAAAACAATGGAAAACTCTATTTTAGCCGATCCTCGATTTTCTTCAAAAAGCGATGAATTCAGCCTTTAAAGCTCCTCTAAAGCTCCTTTATAGTTCCTATTTAGTTCCTTTGAAGCTCCTTTAAAGCTCCTTTAAAGCTCCTCGCGCCAAACCCGTTCCCTTGGGTGTGGTTTCGCTAGATAGTAGATAGGGACAGTGGGAATCTCGTTAATCCATTATTATTTTCGATGTCAGTTCTTTAGTTTTAGGGAACTCCATCAACAGGCACAACACAAACAGAAGATGGCCTTTTGCGCCTTTCTGTAGCCGATTTTCATCATTTGGAGGATACGATGTGTTCAATGTGTTCACCATCAACGATTATCAATGGTTCCATCAAATCAATGGATTATCAATGGTGTTCCATGATTGGAAATACACTTTTAAAACTAAAGTATCATGATTATGCCAAAACAGCATACAACTGGGAAAAAGACACAAAAATGTCTGGCATTGTTGCCATGTTTGGCATTTCTCCAATGTTGTCCTGCTAACATCTACAGGGTGCGTCATAATTATTGCAACAAGATACTCAAGGCATTGCACACCATGAAGTTTCACTGGAAGAAGATTTTTAAACAGAAATAGCTTTATTTAACAGTAACAAATAAGGAAACAAGAGATCATTCGATATGACCGCATTTTGCCTTGATAACTGCCCTTAATCGGTTCGGATATGCCTCCACTGCGGCCCGAATGTCATCTTGAGGAGTCGCCTTCCATCCTTTGGTCAAAGACTTCTTCAAACAATCCAAACTTGTGTGTTTTCGAGAGCAGACATTAGCCTCCAAGATTGCCCAAATGGAAAAGTCCATCACATTGAGATCCGGTGAGTTTGGAGGCCATTCATCCTTGGTGATCACTGAGGGAAAGTTGGCCACACACCAGTCCTGAACCGTCTTCTTCGTGTGAGCGGGAGGCAATTAGGCAAGAATAAAGAAGATAGAACGCAACACAACAAAAAAGGAGGCAAAAAAATAAGAAAGCTGTTTGGAAAACGATCTTGGAACTCTTGTTGCAATAATTATGACGCACCCTGTATAATGAGTAAGCAATTGAATCAGAATCAGAAATTGGAGGGAAATCGTTATTTCGACTATTTCGACTAGTTCGATTCAATCAAATTTTGAAATATCGAATCGAAAATCGAAAATCGAAGCCATTCATGTGCTCACCGATATCTTCGTAAGCGGGAGGGGAAATTATCGAAATCAAAGAAGCACCCGGCTGTAATCGTGACATAATATTGGAATTTGGTGATTTGAATTGGCGGCGAAGATGGCTACTGCCTTTTATCTAACTTTTTCTCTCAACAAAAACATGATGCGTATTTTCTTCGCATAATTTTTTGTCTGAACATGTCACTTCTTTGTTACTTTCCTTTGAACTGATAACTTTACGAAGAGAAAAGAACAATTTTGATGACTCACAATTTCAAAATAGGGAATGCTCATGTTTCCGTTTGAATTTATGATAAAATTATTAAAGAAAAGGAGACATAATTCAAGAAAGATAAAATGATGAAATGATGAAATGCTTATAATGCTTAAATTAAGCAAACAAGGGAATGGTCTTAGCTCAAAGTTCGGAATCGATTGGAAACACAGTGCACAACATAGAATCGGCAATGGTGAACAAAACGCCACAAAACTTCGGAGAAAAATCGGATTTCGCTGAGGGACAGGAATACCCCTTCAACAAAAAGTTTGTAAAGGCCTTTACGGTGATCATCACGAATGCACCGATCAACAGGCTTGTGGAACGGGGATGGGGGATTCGCAGATAGCTTTTTTGATCGCTTTTTTTTGTTTTTACCATTTTCAACGTATTTATAGTGCAAATATTAATCCCTGAACTGGTTGCATCAACCGAAGAGGCCTAAGATCAAAAAAAAGCATTCTTACTGCATTCTTACTGCATTCTTACTAAATGTTAACACAAAAAGATGGTTTGCTGAACGCAAATTGAATATTGTATTGAATATTGAATATTTTAAAACACAAACTTTATGTGAGTTTAAGTGATCGAACTTCTCACGTTAAGTAAACAACTTTTCGTTGCTTACAAGGGAATGGTCTTAGCTCAAAGTTCAGAATCAATTGGAAACACAGTGCACAACATAGAATCGGCAATGGTGAACAAAACGCCACAAAAATTAGCCACGGAAACGTGACGAATCTAGCATGCAAAATCAAGATTAAAAACTGACTCCTTTATTTGATATTACTTGATTAGTGCTCACATTTCTCAAGTTTAATAATTCAATTTTGGTTACGCGATACAATATATGGGTTTCAAACAATCCTCAAACTCAAAAGTCACCATAAATGTTGAACACCCCTGTTTCAAATATTAGGTTGATGCAAAAGTCTTTTTCATTTTTTTCGTACTTCTTTTGAAAAATAACAAAGTCATCAATTAACCTATGGTTTGCTCTAAATGAAAAGTGTTTATTGTTGAATTTCCCATCTTTTTAAGTCAATTTGGGTTCACTTTCAAGCAAATTCGAGAGTGAAAACGGGTTTTTCATAAAAATCTATAAAAACCTCTATAAAGAAATTGGCTGAATCAATTTCTCTGAAAATCTGAAAAAATATCTAACTTTTTGTGCTCTATCTTTTATTTATTAACATCAAGATTGGTTTCCTTAGCTAAAGCGTCTAAAATGCATCATCGAGCCGTCGCCTTTTTTGACTACCCGACTTCAGGCTCTCAAAAAAATCTAGACATAAGACATTTTAAACTCGTTTTAATGTCATTTTGCAGAAAAGTAATTGGCCTTTCGAATGCAATAAACCGTTGTTCAATTGGTGCATTTGTTACTTTTTAACGGAAGTACGAAAAAAATGAAAAAGACTTTTGCATCAACCTAATAGCTTCAAAGTGCTCAAACAGGAAACGCCAGTCTTAGAGTGGGTTTTAATTTTCAGATTCATTATGACTTTTGTTTTTTTTCTTTGCTTTGAAAGCGAAAGCTTGAAGGATTTTATCACTACATACGAACAGGACTTGATGAAAAATCCAAAAGCTATGGCCGGCCAAGCCAAGGCCAGGCCATGCCAAAGCCAGAAGGCCAGAAGGCCAGAAGCCAGAAGGTCAAAGCCAAAAGCCATGGCCTTGGCCTGGGTTTTTGTTGTTGCTAATCTTGTTACATTTGTTTTGTTTCCTAGATAGATAAATGATTCTTGATACTATTTTTATTTAAAACTAAAGCAAATTAACATTATTCATTAAACTATCATTTTACTACTTAAACTGGCGACTTTTGAAAATTGGTTGGCCAGGCCAGGCCAAAAACCAGCCAGATGGCCTGGTCTGGCCTGGCCGACCTGACCTGGCCTGGTCTGGTCCTAACCTGGCCTAGCCTGAAAAATCGTCCCTTCGTCCAGCCCTGCATACGAATCGGAGGCTTCTTTACTATTGTTCTCTTGCCTCCACTAATCGTGTATAAGTTGAAACTTTGAAATTTTTATTTCAAAGATTAGCATTTTGTTCTGGATAAAATTATGAATGATTTTTGTTATTATGATTAAGATAATAACAAACTTGATGCAAAATCTAAACCAAATTCGAGTGCAGATTTTTTTCTTATACGATTCTGCTCAACTTTTTAAAATAAAGCACAGTAATGACTGAAAAGTATTATTATAATATAATGCATCAAAAAAAATCTGAAAAAGGATGCTTTTATGTTGGCTAAATGTGTGAAATAATCTGTCTGTCATTAATTAATTAATCTTTTAAGACAAAAAAAATGATATGCTATGAAAAAAACGTGTAACAAGCGCTTTATTATTGTGAAAAGGCACTTTTGCGAGCGCCCATTTTTGAAACCCGTACATTCAGCGAGAAAGAAAATGATTCAAGCAGAAAAAAAAACAGCAAGAAAAAACAAACGACTACTATTACATTAATTTTCAAAATCACGTGGCTATTGTACAATCCCTAACTGTGATATTATTCGCGGTTTGCGTGTTCGGCGAAAGGGTGATTTTCTCGGAAATCTCGATCACTTCCAAATGGCCATTCGCTTCTAGTGGATAGTCGACACAAACGAAATATGAGGAACGATCCTGGAAAGTTTTCTGATAATATTGATATTTGCTGTTATTTGCTTAACTCTACAATAAAATTTCTAAAACCACGTCTTAAACTGGTGATGAAGAACTATAAGAACTAAGAAACTAAGGAACTAACTAATTCTGAGAGAATCGAGGGACAGAATTCTTAAATCCAATCGCCCTGCTCTCCCGATTTGACTGCTGCTAATGGTTTAAAAGGATGTAGGATTTGTAGATAAAAAATAGCCAAACTTAGGGCAACAAAGTCCAATTTTAAAAAGATCATACCGCTTATGCCAAAGGAATCTTTTCAAAAGAGCTTTTTTTGACAGATTAACAATTCTTTAATTAATAAATTAATAATAATTTTTCCTAGTGTCGATAAGCACTTTAATAGCCTTAAAAATGGTATTTGCCTGTTTTTCAAGGAAGCAAAAGGGTATGCCGATGGCTGGACTCGGCTCCGCAGTGGTGGGTCCTACAAGCTTGGCTTTGCAGTCCGACGCACTACCAACTAACCGGCCGATGGCGGGACTCGGGTCCGCAGTGGTGGGTCCTACAAGCTTGGCTTTGTAGTCCGACACACTACCATTAGCCGGCCGATGTCGGGACTCGGATCCGCAGTGGTGGGTGGGCGCTTGACTTTGTAGTCCGACGCACTACCAACTAGGCCGCCGCTGCTCTTGCTTCGCTTGCGTGTGGAGCGCCACTATAGGTGCGATTTTTCGAAGATGGTCGTTCAGTCGCTCACGGCTCCTTTCCTTTACCGATTCCAAAAGGGAAGCCTTCTATACCAAGCATGTTTGCCAGATGGCGAGCGATTACGTTAGAATCCGGTAGAATTCACTTCTACTCCGGTACCACACAAAGAATACCTACATAGGGATTTCTCTTTTGCTTTAGAGATGGTAGAAAAAGGTATTTAGCTAGAAATTTATACCCGCGGGTTTTCAGGGTTGGATTGGAGGATCGATTGGAGGGAATTCAGGGTTGGATTGGAGGATCGATTGGAGGGAATTCAGGGTTGGATTGGAGGATCGATTGGAGGGAATTCAGGGTTGGATTGGAGGATCGATTGGAGGGAATTCAGGGTTGGATTGGAGGATCGATTGGAGGGAATTCAGGGTTGGATTGGAGGATCGATTGGAGGGAATTCAGGGTTGGATTGGAGGATCGATTGGAGGGAATTCAGGGTTGGATTGGAGGATCGATTGGAGGGAATTCAGGGTTGGATTGGAGGATCGATTGGAGGGAATTGAGGGTTGGATTGGAGGATCGATTGGAGGGAATCGATTGGAGCTATTCATTTTATCGAGTCTATCAATCTATCAAACTTTCTTCCTATATTATGCTGTTCAATTTTCTCCAATTCAATTCACTTTTTTTAATTCACTTTTTGTAATTCGTCTGTTTTTTTGAAACCAACTTGTGCTATGCAATTCACTGAGGAGATTTGCAGATAGAAATGCGGATTCGACTCGTCGTGTTGACCCCGAATCACGCATGGTTCTAAAATTGTTTGGTTTTACATCTTCAAGACTGATTGGATAGTCCAGAAATAAGAAGTTTCAGGAAAAATTCGCTTGTAAATTTCTTGTAAATTTCTTGTAAATGTAAATGGAAATAAATAGCCTAATGAAAATTTTATTATGCTGATTTAAAATCAAGTTTCAGCCCTAGCAATTTTCAGCAAGCGAATTTCAAATCAAATTTTAAACTAGACGACTTTTAAGCATTAAAATTCTCAAGAATTTCATATGTTTTTCTCAAGAATCGTCCATTTTTTGTATTTTTAAAAAAAATTTAGTAATTTTCGACTACCAATAACAACAAGTAGCTAAAGTAATCAAATCCTAGCCATTTATCTTTTCAGAGCTTTTGAAACATGAGTTTCAAAATAAAGCGTCTCTTTATGTATCTCTTTGGCTTTGGCGTCTTTGGCGTCTTTGGCTTTTGGCGACTAGGCGTGGCTCTTTTATCTTGCATCCCGAATCTGCTTTCTCTAAATCCTCTAGATCCTCTAGATCCTCTAGAGCTTTGTAAATCGTGTGACTAAAGTTTGGAATGCCCTTCCCGACAAGTTGCGTTTGATCTCCACCGTGTCTGATTTTAAAAGGGCTATTTCGTTGCATTTTAAGTGACTTTGTCATCTTTTAACGCAACTGGGTCGTGGACCTGGGT